GATTGGAGAGAATAAAATGTTCCCTGGGGAACGTTCCCTCATTTCGCTCTACTACTGTTCTATCACAAAATTCATATTGTATTCTCGACACAAAGGGATCGAGCCATGAAGGTGCAAAACGAGAATGTTGTCAAATGTACCGACCAATCAGAAAGCAGTAAATAGGCGGTAGAATCAAAACTGGTGATGAGCTAGACATGAAATAAAGCTACTTATAATTGTTATTTATTTGTCAGTGTCAGGTGCAGTCTAAAAAGAAAAGAAAGTGGAAGTTAATAAAAAAATCGAAGCTAAATCAAGTAAGTTCTAAACAAAAAGAGCTTCTAATAGAATATATTGAGGGTAAAAGACAAATGTACAGTGGAAAGTTAATACCCAGCTACACTAGAGAGAAAAGGAGGGTTAACTGGGAAGAACTTACAAATATTTTAATTTTATATTAGGCAGATTCATTTTATTCTATTATTATTTTATTCGTGTACTGTACAATCTTTCAAGTAAACACAAATTATATGATATCACCACAAAACAGTAAGCATGTCAAAAAATATAGGATTAGGTTTAATGATCCCTGCCTGCTCCCTCGAAAATATCAGTAGAAGAAATAGGGAACAATTATTCTATCATTACTCAATAGAACACCATTCAAGAATACCGATTAATAAGTTTTAGTAGAGACACGGACCCTTTCTCTCGTTCCTTCTACTCCCTATAATTCAAGAATAAAGTCCCAGACTTCCACTTATTTTTGCTCTCTTGCAGTACACTTGGTTGACCAACTTCTAAATCTCTCTTTGACATTTTATAATATTATTTGTTTTTCTCAGCAACCCTGATGAAACAAGAAAAAATAAATTTCTTTCCGAGTTATAAAAATTATGCCTTTAGAGAAATTACATAACTTTACAATGAATGGTACACATATTGTTTTTCCTTTCTTTCAATCTTTTTAAATTGTATTTTACTGTTTTGTATATTTTCAAACTAAAATAAGAATTTTCAGTTTTTTGGGACTTTGAGGCTCTATAAAAAACGTGCAACGACATAAATTAATGAAATTTTTGATATTTGGATTTTAAATGGTGCTGAATAACGAAGTGTTGTCAAATTTCTAATAAAAAATCCCTAATACGATTTTCCAAAAACATTATTATTAAAAAAATCATAGCGTACCACGAGATAACATTATCTCCTTAGATATATGCCCCATACGTGTGTCTATGCACTCCCTACCCTGAAATTTGGCATTAAAATCGCTTCACCCTGTAAAATTCTACACTGGTGTTCCGGATCAAATCTGTACACACTATGACTGTGGGAATTGACTCGTCTCAATTTATTTGTAATTGTCACAATTTTGCATGATTATTTTTCCTCGTATTTTTATAGAGCCTATTAATCCTAGAGAATTAAAAACTACCCAAAATTGTTCTTTTTGTTACTACATGATTATCTTGTTTTTTACTTGCTGTGATTTGAAAAGTATCACTTCGCGCATTCCATAAAAGCCCTAAAGTTTTAATACATGAATCGTCAGATATAATAAACTGGGGTAAATTGCTTTCAGTGTTTCCGATACTATTTAAAATGTACATATTGTTAGCAACCCATTTTCTTAGTTGAAAACAGTCACTTTTAAGGATTTGATCGATTTCTTGCTTAAGGAAGGAAACTGATGCATCCCTGGTTGCCTATATTATACCGAAAAGTAGTAGAAAACAGCTTTTTTTTATTCCAATATATCTTTTTAAAGCAATGGAAAAAAGTAATAAAATTTCATATCACATTTGGTAAAGTATAAATGAAGACAGTAAAACAAAAATTAATTGGGATAGGTAAATAATTCGTGAGAAATTAATTTCTTATATGAGTTTTTTTGGACTTTTTACAAACAAACGATTATTTCTTCATAGCATTATAGAATTTTGCAATTTTTTATATAGTTGTCTTTTAATAAATAAACTGATTGTTCAACACTTTATTATTTAAAAAGTTATATTGGAATAAAATTATCAAAAAATATTCATTCATAAATCACATTATGTCTGACCTTTAGTTCGCTTAATGTGTAATAGATGTCGCACTAGTAAAAATTAATTTTTAACGAACAGCTGTTGTGTTGTGGTTAATTTGGTATAACCTGATTCTGAATTGGTTGATAAGTAAATATATATTAAGTTAAAGAAAGTCATGATCATTTTAGATACATTATTGTATAAAAGTATACAGTCCCATAAGCACATGATCAAAAAGGTACTACGACATTCTTTGGGTCAAAAGAAGACGATTTGACCTAACTTCCATTAAGGAAAAATGTCTGGCTCCTCTGCTATTGACTGTCAAAGTTCTTGAAAAAAAATATGTTTTTTTCTAATATCTGGAGAATGTTACAATGGATTTTAATGAAACTTGCTGTGGACTTGTTTCTAAGTAAAACCCATGTTTTGATGAAGCAACCGCGTCCATCTGCCTTGGGCTAGTGGTAAATTCTTGAGTGTCTTGGTCCAGAACTTTTTATTTGATCGCTGGAATAAATTCATTTTATTTTTATTGATGCGTCAGTCCTTTTTTTAGAGATATTCGTGCTCTTGGTTTGTAGCATTCATAGTTTTTACGCAAAAAAATGTTTTCAATTTTAGACAATCATTATCACTACTACTCAAGTACAACAAATATTCACTACAATCACTACTATCGTAGTAAGTATATTTGTAAAATCTTGTAGCATTCATAGTTTTTACGCAAAAAATTGTTGTCTGTTTCGTTGCGATTTAACAATTTTAAATATATCGCAGTAAATCTGCCCTTTTACAATAAGCAGCTTTCTCTAATAATAATTGCCAATTCTTTTACCTAGGATATCAATATTGAAAGTAAAATGGTCGCAATGTTTAAAGTCTGTTTGAATATCATCTTACTTCATTAGATTTATTTTTTGTTAACACTCAAAAAATGTAAAGACGTACTTAAGAAAGACATAATTCTCTTTATTGAAACTGGATGATAGTTACATAGATACGATATATGATGGTGGAATTACAGGACATGTTCGATATGCCCCCCATTTCCTTGGATGCATAGCTGGATCCTTCAATTGAAATTGAATTGAGCCCTCCTCAACATTTTTTGATCATTCCATATTACGTCCGCCTCGTTTTGAATCCTACGCAATAATTCTTTCTTGGATTCCACAGGAGTAGCGTAAACTAGTAGATAGGCTATGTTACTATGACGCCAAAATCCCATGTATTTTCTTATGAAGGTTCATCCTGGTCATTTTTGACGAATTTTACCCCCACTCCTCCTCCTTTTCCCTTTCCCTTCCCCCTCCCCTTCCCCGCCAGCCAATCAGAGCGCAGCATTTTTGGTAAGAAATTCAAAATGTAGTCACCTAGGACCCCCACCTAGGGCTTTGCCCCATCTAGGACTTTGCCCCTAGGCCCCCATGCAGGTATCTCCATGTATGTATGTAGGATTCCCCAAGTAGACAAGAGTATTGTGCGTAGACCTCCGCCTGTATCCCCGCGTAGGTATACCTAAATTGTATAGGGCTTCGCCCGCCACCGCGGGCCCCAAAACGTGGTCAAACGAAGACCTAGGCAGTAGCCGCGATTTCCATTTCACAATAGTAGTTTATAACGCGGCCGAGCGTGTATCCGTAGATGGCGTTGCAAGTGGAGCGCGGGTCTAATAAATATGCTTGTATATTTAAGTATTACAAACTACGGCTAAAAAATATTTACTGGAATTTACTTTAGGAATGTTTGTTAAAATAGAACAGAAAGGNTTTGACCCCCCATAACTCCGTTAGGGGGCACATTAGGAAAAAATATATAGGAAGGACTAGTTTTATTTTGACCTCCCCTATACACTCCCGAGAGATTAGGAGGTACTTACCGGACACCCTGTATAAACAATTTTAGGTACCAATTTTAAGGATATTAGTAAATTCTTAGTCAGGTATTGGTGGATGGTAAACTAAGAGGTCTTCAGAAATATGTGAAGTATGACGATGGCAGACATCTTAAAATTGAGTTTTATATTTTACTTGCTGCAAATTTTTTAAAGCATGAAAAATCTATATTACAATCTTTAATAAAAACAATTATCAATTTTTATAATAAAAAGTTCAATAACACAAATTGTAGATTTTGTTAGAGGTGCTGAAAGGAAAATGAAAATAATGGTGATATACAGGGTGGGCCAAAAGTACTAGAATGGCAGGATATCTGGGAATATTCAAGGGGTAGGGTAAATGTAAGCACTAGTGGTTTAGGATTTTTCCTAAGGTCATATGAAGGTCATGAGATTTTTTTTTAAATGGGACCCCATAATTGTGATTCTGTCAATGGAGAGCGGAAAATTTTACATTGGGATATGACCTTGAAGTGACAATGAAGGTCAAAATCAAGGTCAAATATAAAAAAATCACAAAGTGGTCCAACAGTACTGGAATGGCAGGAAAAATATTCTCCACAATAGTTCTAGGATTCTTGATGGGCACTTTCCGGTGACCTTGGATTTAACCTCTGCCCTGACCTCAAATTCCTTATCATCTTGTCATTTCAAGGCCAAGTTTGTTATTCTGATGACTACTATTGACCACCCAAGACTGTCTATTACCCTCGATGACCACTGTTGCTCTTCAATGACCGCCTTTTATCTTTGGTGACCACTAATGACCAATAGTGACCAACTGTTGCCTTTATGACCTCTAATAACCGACCTTGGCCGTATGTTGCCATCGGTGACAACCATTGACTAACCAAGAACGTATGCACCTTCGGTGACTACTATTAACCAACAAATGACCTTCCATTATCTTTGATATTTGCTCTGGGAAAAAATATTGCCTCAGTATTAATGGTGCGATAATTATAATAATGCAAGAAACAAAACATCAGAAGAACACATTAAAATTATTTATAACAAAAAAAATATGTATATTTTTAATTCTGCCTGTGAACTACAGTTTTCAGTGGTGAAATAAAAGTCAAGTGAATACTTTTACTATTTTTATTTAAAAATAAGTACACCATATTGTCAACACATTCAGTTTTAAACGTTTAAAAATTATTTCACAAAAAAGGTGTAGGTGGTGGTTAAAAACCTACTTGCTTCTTTCTAATTTTTATTTTCTTCTTTTGGGCAACACACACCAGCATATCTAAACAGATATTTTCAATATTAAGTCAGCAGTATGAACCAGAAAAAAATTGTATACTCACCCATCTAATTCACAGAAATAATTTTTATACACATTTTCGTTTGTGAGATCTGGGAAAATCTGAGGGCATTTGTACAGAAGTTCGCAAGTTCCAATAGAGTTACGTGGCGTTTTTGGACAGACTGGACTATCTGTTATATTTTTATCTAATCCTAAACCATATGTACCTAAAAGGAATAAAACTTAATGCATTTAAAAAGTAAATTTAATGATAACATGATAAAAAAGCAAACGGAGTATAAAACTTTTAAAGCATAATGTGATTTAGGCCAGATAGAAGCATGTAGCAAAGTAAGGTGCAGCACCTCCTTAGTGACAGAATTTTGATCTGTCCAAGTGGTTAGGTACATATCTGTTTATTAGATCTGAATTTGCGTCAACTGTATGATATGCCATTGGAAAAGAGGCAATACTAGCGGTGTAACGAACAATGCCTTCTTTTCTATATTTAAAAATTATTACTCATCTGAAGAAATTCTTAATTTTCCACATTTTGTATACAGGTGGTCCGAATTTTATGCAGGAAACTTCGAGGGCAGATAGACCTCTTTAAAATAATATGTGTTTGCCTTATAAACATAGGTCTGGAACAGCTCCGTTTTAGAGATACAGGGTGTTGAAGTTGTTAAAAAAAATTAAATTTTTTGTTATATCTCTGGAATCTATTAACCGATTTCAATAAAATTTAGTACGGATAATGTACAATAGTAGGCCTTACATTCCCTAAAATATGGGATTTAAAAGTTCATCCAGTAGTGTACAACTGGACAGGGGTCACCCTTTTTTTTACAAAAAAACCTGCGCCACTGCATTTTTTATATATCATTGTAACTGATTTATATTTTAATGCATAAAATACGTGGAAAAGGTAATTTGAATTTTTTCCCTAAAATTAGTCGCTCTCAAGTTATTCATACCAATACAATCCCCTTGTGGGAGACACTTCAAACCATAACATTACAAGAGTATTTATGTTTATGCTTAAAAGTAATTTGTAACCATATCAACTAAATTCTTTACACTCCTTTCTTCACCACCTGTGAGGTAGTGTTCCTGGCATTTTTAGTTTTCTCTGGAGGCCTAATACTTTTTACAAATAAGAACAATTTAAATCAAAATAATAATAAAAATATATTTAACAAGCAACAGCAACTAAACAAGAAACAAAATTAACGTTACGCATTTACAACAATTGTTCAAAATGCGAACCACCCACATCGATACATTTCTGACACCTTCTATTAATGGAACTAATTGAAGCTAATATCATGTGGTGGTTTTCTTTTAATTCATTACACCCGTCTTCTATTCTTTGCAGTAGTTGTGGTCTTGTATCTGTTGGAGCAGAATAAACTTTAGTTTTCAGATAACCCCAAACATAGAAGTCTAGGTGGTTTAGATATGGCAATTTAGCTGGTCAAGACACTGGATCCTCTGCACCATTATGGTAAACATTGGCATTGGGTCTTCTACCTATCCATCGCCCCATATAATTTTTATTAAACCATTCTAATATTATTCTCCCAGAATGCGCAGGAGCACCATACATTGTATCCAGCTATTTTGTCGTATATTCAATGAAATATTCTCTAATAATTCAAATAGATAGTTTTCTAGAAGGTTTAGAGATGACTGGGAATTTAGACGGGGTGACAAGAAGAAAGGTCCATAAACTTTATTGCATTCACAGAAAATTCGTGTTGAAAAGATCTTGTCCAAATTTCCTGAGGATTTTCTTGTGACCAAATATGCAGATTGTGAAAATTCACTACCCTTTCCCTTTGGTAAGTATACATTTATTATTATTTTGATTTAAGTTGATCTTATTTGTAAAAATAGTGGGTTAGGCTTCCAGGGGAAACTAAAACGCTTAAGGAACTCTACCTGACATCTGGTGTGGAAAAAACAAGTGTAATGAATTTATTGATGTGCTTACAAATTCCACTTACTTTTAAGCATAAACATAAATATATTATAATATTATGGTTATAAATTTTTGCACAAGGTGATTGTATTGATATGAATAACTTGAAAACGACGAATCTTAGGGAAAAAATTTAAGTTACCTTTTTTACGTCTGTGCCTCAGTAGTTATGATTTTTTTCCCAAGTATAATAATAACTGAAATGCTTCATTGGTAATACGTCTTGCAAAATTGAGAATGACAAAACTGAATGTATTGTTATTAAAAAAAATATATGTTCTAATATTTTATATACATAGATAGCAATAAAGATATACAAAATATTTTGATATTTAAATGCCTATACAAGACAAGCTAAAAAACAATTTTGAATATTGCTTAAATTGATTTCTTTTTTTGACATAACAAATAAATCTCTAGCATACTCATTGTAAAAAGTTAGTTTCAAAATTTTGGGGAATTTCCAGAAAAAGCTAAGATGTCAAGCCCGCTTGATTTTTGATAAAAGTTAAACAACGAAAACCTTATGCCCAAACCTTCATTCCCTTAAAGAATACTTGACACATATTTCAAATGATTATTTCAATTGAATAGGTAAATACCAAAAATATTTTTTTGTAATTTACTTTTTTTATAATATAGTTTGGTGTGCTGTACATTTTTTTTTCATAAAAAATTCTTCATATAGAATTAATTTCTCATAAATATGTTTGACATTCTGTATATTTTAGAACCACAAGTACATATATTACCGCAACGATATCACACCTTACTTTACTGCATGTGTACCTACAGCAGGCATTATATTTTATTCACTCCAAATTAATTATTTAGTTTAACTAATTATAAGTTAAATTTCTTTGTATTTTGTAAAATACTTAAAATGTATCTATCTGTCTGAGCTAATTTAAGAAAATTGAATAGGATGTTATTAATAATAAAATGGTACCTGAAGAAAGAGTTATGGTTCCATTTGCATTGAGTAGAGAAGATAACCAGGGAATCTGTGTTTTGAGCTCATTTAGAGCAACGTCTTCCAGTACAGGCGTTGCAGAATCATATTCTTGAGGAGCAGCTGCTTCTACTAGCACTCTGTCTGAATCAAATGTTGAATAGGAACCACCAAACGCACTTGCACCTGCTACTATATAATTTAGTTTATTATTATCGTTACACATATGTATATATACAGGGTGTTTGGTAAATCGATGCATTCCTTACAGGTGGTTATAGTACAAGTGATGTGTGATATGTTTCCTTAATATACCATATTTGAAAACGCATAGTTTCCGATCTACAGGGTATTAAAGTTTTAACAAAAAAAATGCAAATTTATAAATACTGCAGAAACCGCTCAATATATTTTAATGAAATTTTACAAGCTTTGACAGTTAACAATACATGTTTTATGATAAAAATGTTGTTTTCAGTTTCACCAGTGGTGTGTGCACAGGCACGTCTTTGGATATTTTTAAAGGAAAAGATGATACGCCACTGATTTTTCTTAAAATAAAAACTATTTTTGAATTCGTTGTTCAATTCGAAAGAGAAAAGGTATCTTGACTGTTTTTCTTATGACTCACCGTTCTCGAGCAAAAATAATTAAAATCGATTTATTGCATAGTGTAATCCGGTTTCAATAATTTGAAAACTAGCAGATATTATGCACTCAGCTTTTTTTTGTACCAATTTTATTACAAAAAATTATTACTCCTCGCAGTTAACATCAGTCTAAAAAAAATTTATCAGTTTTTAGATTCACTATTCACTATCTAATCAGAAATTAGTAAGTTGGCTGACATTTTCGACCGGGGTAACCCAGACAGAAATAAGAAGGCGGGCATGTGCCTACATTAGAAGAAGGGAGTTCATTTTGAGCAAGATCTTAAGTAATTACTAATTAGAATTAGGTAATAACATAATAATTGTATTAGTAATTTTTTTCATTTCCTAACAAGCTTTGTACTCATTTAATACTAAAGATTAGTTAAACGAATTTAAAATTACAGGCAACATAATCTAATCACTAATTAAATGAAGAAGCTTTTAGACAGATATGAACCGTGGGTAGTAATAACGTGCTGTAATAAAATTGATACAAAAAAAACTAAGTGCATAAGTCATTTCTGCTATTTTTCAAATTATTGAAACCGGATTACGCCATGCAATAAATCGATTTTAATTTATTTACTCGAAAACGGTGTGTTATAAGAAAACAGTCGAAATACCTTTTCTCTTTCAAATTGAATAAGGAATTCAAAAATAATTGTTATATTAAGAAAAATCAGTGGCATATCATTTTTTTTTTAAATATCCAGACATGTCTGCGTGCACACCACTTGTGAAAATGAAAACAATATTTGTTGTTAACTGTCAAAGCCTGTAAAGTTTCATTAAAATATTCCGAGTGGTTTCTGCTATATTTGTAAATTTGCATTTTTTTATTAAAACTTTAACACCCTGTAGATTGGGAACTAAGTGTTTTAGGAAAATGGTATATTAAGGAAATATATCACAAATCACTTGTACTATAACGTCCTGGGAGAAATTCATCGACTTACCAAACACCCTGTATATACAGGATGTCTGAAAAGGTCATGTCAAAAATGAAGGGATATATAGGGGAGGTTAAAATAGTTATAAAAAAATTTTTCCTATCGGGCTTCGTTGGGGAGTTATTCGCCTTCAAAGAAAGAAGTTTGAAAAACAAATTCCAATTTTAACTTCCAAGTCGTTACCATGACAACAATGAAATTTGGACTAATAAAGTAACTCATGGTAATGTTCATTTGGAAGTATAAACTGATATTCCGTATGTCTGGATTATACAGGAACAGACAAAATTATCCATTTAAATTTATACATCTTTGACAGTGTTGACAAATTTGGAATTTTTCTTTCGTAGTTTGATTCCTCTCTCACTTTGCTAAAAAAAGGTAAACCTTATCAGTTGATATCTTGTACCATTTTTGAGAAAATTGAATTTTATTAACAACATACATGTATTGTATCAAAAATGTGATATTAGATTTTTGTAAAAATCTTAGTTTCTATGGAAATTGAGATGACTGTCAACAAGTATTAATTAGCATAATTAGTAATTAACAGTTAGATATTTGTCATAAATCATTTTGAAACCATTTGTTGATTCAATATCATGGAGGATTTTAGCTATGAAGAATTTGCAGATATTCATCTAATGTATGAACTTGCAGAATGAAGCTGTTCGTATTTATGCCAACCGCTTTCTAAATTGAATTTGCATATTTGAAGTGATGAAAGCTTCCATACTATTATTCAGACAAAACGGTACAAGATATCGACTGATATACAGTATACATTTTTTTTTAGCGAAGTGAGAGATATCGAACTGTGAAAGAAAAATGTAAAATTTGACAACGCTGTCAAAGATGTATTTTAAATGGATAATTTCGTCTGCTCCTGTATAATCCAGGTATATTGAATATCAGTTTATACTTTGAAATGAACATTACCACGAGTTACTTTAACTACCTATGTTTCAATGTTGTCATGGTAACGACTTGGAAGTTATAATTGGAATTTATTTTTCAAACTTCTTTCTTTGAAGGCGAATAACTCCACTACAAAGCCCGATAGGAAAAAAATGTTTATGAAGTACAACAACTATTTTGACCTCCCCTATATATCCCTTCATTTTTGACATGACCTTTCCGGACACCCTGTATATTAAAATAAGTAATACCTGAATAATATGAAGAAGGTGCTAGACCAGGTGCTGACACACCTAAAAAGAAATTGTTATTTATTTTCATCATATGGATGAGAAGAAAATTTATCAAATGCTTTTGAAGTTTACAATTAAATACATACTTGAAGGATGTAAACTTAAGGGGAATCCTAAAAATATAAAAAGTATAAGTATGCAAAATAATTTTATTTAATTTCAAGATTTCTTACCACTAGCAATTATTGGGTACCCTGAAAAAGAAAAAAAAAGAATTACGAACTTGTATTCTTTGGTATTAAATATTAGTAGTTACACAATATTTAAATAAGACTATCATAATAAGGTATTTACTAGTGTCACTATTACTGGAGGCATCTTCTGTATTTACAGAATCTGTAGTGTTTGGTTTAACAACAACCAATGAGCTGACGTCACTGACAAATGAATATTTCAGAGCTATTTTGAGGGCATCCTGTGTTAGCTCAGTTTTATTTTCTGCGGCGTCTCTCTGTTCTAGAATCTGTTTTAGAGTTAAATAGGCCCAAAGTCTTTCAAGGGATCCTACAGATTGTGTCACAACTGGCACTAATTTCACAGGGCCATTTATTCCCCACCCTTCTACAGGCCCAGGAGCAAAGCCAGGATCTACAAAATATTTATTAGTCTACAAATGAATTTATTTATGTAATTTATTATTATTTTTAGAGTCAAAAGAAAATAATATAATTCGGCAACTTTCCTATAAAAATTTTCATGTAATTCTTTTTTCTATTCATTTTTAGTTGTAGTTCTCTTATAGTAGCTTACATGTAAAATTTAGGTAGCAACCAACCAGTGGCGTCGAAATTAGGAAGGGCCTAACGGTCAAATTTCAACTGTCAAAATAAGTCGTCTGATGATAAAAAATTTTTTAATCGATCAAAATATTTGGGTGTTATAAGTATATTTTATAGAATTGCCATTCAGAGTTAAAAATTCAAAAACCATGACAATATTGCCATTAGCAATGCATATACATACAAGATGTTCCGATTTATAGGTGCGTACGTGACAAAGAAGTGTTGCCATGAAAAACAAACTACATACATACAAGATAAATGTTTTAATTCATTATTGGCAAATCACTTGTCACTGTTATCAACATTTTTTAATTATTTGTTTGCAAGTATTTATTAAAAAAAATTAATTTTTGGGGAAGTTGGGAAAGGACCCCGCAAGTATCCTTATGGAAAACCGGTCCTGGTCAAATGGTATGAAACTTTGTCGAATGATAGTCCTCAATGTGTCGATCAAAAAAATCCATGGGACCTAGGTCTGAAAATCTATGTGCTCGATGACCATCAAGTCTAATGATTTATGGGCAAGTAAATGCAAATATTTTTTTATAGTGACCAATTTGGCTGTTTCTTGATGTATTTTTGTATGTTGAATGCGAATCCGTGGTCAAAATAGCTGTATCATCCTTCAGTCTTCAGAAAATCGGTGAAGCACCTATTAAAGAACAGCGATAGCGACACGTACTGCTTGAGCGACATCTTATATTTTTACGCATGCTGAACACTTATCCGTCTTCAGCATATCTGCAGTATCCCTCAGTCTTTAGAAAATAGCTGAAGCACCTTCAGAAAACTGAAGAAAAGTTTTAGTGATTTGCCGATTCACCGATTTTCCGAAGACTGAAGGATAATACTAAGTTTCTTACCATTCGACCGGGACCGGTTTTCCATAAGGATAGTTGCGGGGTCCTTTGTATAGAACTTATACAAACCAATTATTTATGTCAGTAATGAATTTGAATGTTAAAAGTACCTTGTTTTCCATGACAATGCTGACAAAATCAGTAACAGACTTAATGGAATCTATATTTTTCTCTATGCATATTGTATTATACTTTTAACCTTAAGAATATTTGGAAAATTTTTTTTGGTGTCAATTTTTGAAAAATTTCTGTTTTAAGAAATTTTAGTTTCCAAATATGCATGTTTTCAAAGTGTATTCATAAAAAATATTTGAACTATATTTGTTTTTTACTTATTATGTGGCTGAAAAACAGTCAGACACATAAATTAAACTTTTTTCATAACCACTTAGTAAATACTACTTGTAAAATAATTATTTTTTATCTCTGGTCCGCTGCAGATGGGCTGCAAACATTGTCATAGTTTTTAGACTTTTATTTGTGATTTCTTTGAAAAAAATATCGGAACACAAAAACTTATATTTATATTTGTAAAAAATATTCTCTTCATTGTCGAATAACTTCTTTCTTGACAGTTAAAATCCCAACAGACTCCTTATTCCACTTCCAACGTCATTGTTAGTTTGTACTTAGTATATTATGCATATAGTTGCTACAAAAAATAAAATTAAATAAATAAATATTTACCAATTTGTCCTGAGACTACAATTTCTGATCCAGCAAACAACAGTGGAAAATCAGTTTTGGTTACTTCCGATACATTGGAAACATATTTGAAAGATACTTTGGACAGAAGTGGTGAGGATATTTGCTTATAAAACTCTTGCAGTTGTAATGAAGCATCAGCTGCTTCATAAATGTGTCTAGCAAAACCTAAATTTTTCAAGGATATTTTTTCCAGAAATTTTCTATCTGCGCCGTCTCCAAATGATAAGGAAAATATGGCACATTTGCCACTGTTTAATTCAGAAATCTATAATATTGCATTTGTAGTATAGGATTCTCATAGGAAATTCAAGGAACTTACTGTACTGATAATTTTATTATTATCTACTTCCCCAACAGTAGCTTCACCATCAGTTAAAAACACTATTAAGGGTTGGTGTTTTTTGTCTGTTTCTAAATTTTTCTCTACTAATTCCAGTCCAACTTTAAGTGCTGATTGTATATCTGTACCACCAAAAGCGTTCAATTTTGCAACAACCTCTTTAGCTTTCTCAAGATTTTCCTCAGTTGCTTGATAAGCTGGAGGTAGTGGTTGTGCCTAAAAAATTATAAAAGCTGTTTTTTTTTTTCTAAAAAAAATCCATCTAGTCTAGATTCATTCATGCAAAAGGGAAAATGCAATTACCGTTTTGTTTTTGAATATTGCCTCTGGATTTTCAGTAGTAAATGAATAGTAATCATCACTTCCTGATTCGTACTGCACTTGAGTCTTGTCAATGTTCCACACTTTAACTATTGTGCCAAATTCTACAATATTAAAAATATCATCTTTCTTAAGTTCTGCCAGAATGCTATTCATAGCTTCTTTCAACTGGGCTATCCTGATTCCATCCATACTGCCACTTGTGTCCAAAATGAACGCCACTTGTTTTGGAAGAGCTGGCAGGTCGGATGGAGCAAAGAAATGAACAAAATGACCACCATCGACTAACACCTGAAGATAATAAATCACTGTGGGACTCAGAAAAGACAATTAAATAGGCGACTTACCTCTCCACCACTAGGATCCCTCTCTACATCATATTGTACAACGAACTGGCCAGCTAGGCCATTTTCTTCTTTGGTTCCTAAACTATTAGCAAGTTGTTTTTGCCTGTCAATGTCGGGACTAAACTTCACAATTGCTGATGTGCTATTTACAGTAATTACATTTGCGCGGGGATCCAAATTCTCATCATTTTTAGCTATTTCATTACCAGACCTCAGGGAACGAACTTTGACAAATTTCAAAGAACGTGATTCATCAATGTGAACCTGAATAAAAAATATATATTAAGATATCAGATGTTTGACTATTTGTTTTAATTGTTTTTATTTTCTATTTCCAGATTAAAAGGCTTAATTTTAAATAATACAAAAATACAGATAATACTTTCTAAAATATACATAGTGATTCATAGCAAATGTAAAAAAAAATAGATAAAGGCAGAGCTTCAAAAGTGGTAATTAGCTAATGCTGTCTGGATGCTGTGGAAGTTAAAAAAATATTTGTATAGCTCAAAAACGTTTTCTTTTTTTATTTTTTTTATGAGAGCTATCAAATTGTACTTTTTGATAAAAGTGTACCACTAAAGAATTGTTCAGTGGCGTACATATGGGACCTTCCTAAGATGTTTTACCTGATGGCTTTAGTAGTAGTAGTAAAGGGGCGGCCTCAGCCTGGCAATTAGGCCACAAGTGGGCCCTTTTTGCCTACCCCGCCGTCCCATCACCTAATCACTCTCTGCCTCTGACCCTCCTCGAACCTACCCGACGCCCTAATGAACGCCAGGATTTTGGTCCATGGAAGGTCTCTCACCTCAACCCCTTGCAGCTCTTCAGCACCAAAGACTTTATGTCTTATTCTCCCAAAGGCTGCACACTGTCCCAGAAGGTGGACAGGGGTGTCCTCCCCTTCGCCACATTTCGGGCATAGAGGGTCCTCCTCAATTCCTATTAAGCTTAAATGCCTCCTAAGTCTGCAGTGGCCTGTCAGAACCCCCACCATTTGGTTTAGGGCTCTTCGACTGAGGCTCAGCAGCCATCTTGTCTTGGATTTGCTAGGTCCATGTATAAAACTATGGGCCTGCCTGCATCCTCTATTTCTCCTCCAATCCAGACCTAAAGTTTGATAGGCCCACTTATTGAGGGCCCCATTAATGCTGCCTCGTGTGATACCTAAGATTGGTTCAGGTCCCTGTCCAGGTCCCCTGGACCCAAGACGAGCTAATTGATCCGCCCTCTCGTTACCAGGGATGCCCCTATGGCCTGGGACCCAAACCAACTCTACTTCTTTTCGTCTGGCCAAAGACTCTAGAGCGTCTCCACATTCTTGGACAAGGGCAGACCTAGTCCTCGGGGAGCTAACCGCTCTGAGCGCGGCCTGACTGTCGGAGCAGATAAAAATCTTCTCCTCTGCACAATTCCTTACCTCCTCCTTGCTTGCTACCATCAAAATAGCAAAAACCTCAGCCTGGAAGACTGTAGCATACATACCCAGTGAAAAGCTTTCCTGGATGCCGCTGCCTTCCAGATAAATTCCTGCTCCTGAAAACTCGTCTTCTACCCGAGATCCATCAGTATAGCACACTAGGGATCCCGGGGAGAACATATCACCATCCTGCTTCCACTGCTCTCTCGAGGGGAAAGTGGTGACATACTTCCTTCCTAACCTAAGCCGGTCCTCTGCTTCCGTAACCCTCATGGCGGATATTGGGATGTCCCTCTCCGCCCTGAGGGCCACGGCAGCATGGCCCTCAGTGCGTCCTTTAGCTCTCCAACCGCCGGCGTCCCTTATCCTAAGGTATGCCGCCATCGCCTCCCTCATAATCCATGTAGGAAGGGTCGGCAGCCCCAGAAGGACCTCTAACGCGGCAGTTGGGGTCGTCCTCATTGCCCCTGTAATACCTAAGCAGGCAAGTCTCTGGATTCTCACCAACTTCCTGGCTACCGTCACCCGGTCCACACACGGCCACCAGACCAAGGCCCCATACTGTAGCCTCGGCCTGACCACCGCCGTGTACACCCAGTGAAGCACCCTTGGATTGAGTCCCCAGTTTTTGCCAACTACCTTCCTTAACTGCCAGAGGGTTGCCACTGATTTCCGGGTAATCCTCTCAACCTGTGGCCCCCACGACAGTTTGCTGTCCAAGATTACCCCCAAGTATTTGACTTCCCTGACCAAAGTCAGGGGCCTCCCATACATGGTTGGAGCCCTGAAATCACCTATCTTCCTTCTCCTTGTAAATAGGATCATCTCAGTCTTCTTTGAGTTGACTGAGAGCCCCATCTCCTCGCACCACCTCTCTATGATCCTACAGGCTCCCTGCATTCTGTCGCATACCACATCCAAAAACCGGCCCGCGACTAGAACCACGCCATCATCGGCGTAAGCCTGGGCATCACTATATCCCTCCGAGGTTAGGCGTTCCAGGAGACCGTCCATTACTAGGCACCATAGAAGCGGGGAGAGACAACTGCCTTGAGGGCATCCCCCTCCCACTCCCAGGTCCCTACGACAGTCCCCCATGACTGCACTAACCTTCCTTTCCTTCAATGCGGAACTCACCCATTCGACCACGATAGGCGATGTGCCCCGGTCTTGGAGCGAGTTGCATATGGTCTCAGTTTTTGCCTTGTCAAAGGCACCTTCTATATCAAAGAATATTGCCAATACACCTGATGGCTTTAATGTTTGTGAAAATAATCTGAATTTTATACCGACTGTAATGGAGAAATTTAGTAAAATGTGAAAGTCTATTAAATTTTGACCAATTCCTAGTCAATTAGAAAAGTAGGATTAGAACCGCTTTATCAAGTAGGTACCTACCTAAGTAAAAATTATGCTGGAATGCAATAGAAGCTTTTTGAATTTCAAATTATGGTGTCTCAAATAAAATTGATTTATTTGAAACATAACTGACCTTTTTTTGGAAGCAGGCCTACATAAATATAGAAAAGGTGTAAAAAATACTTGTATTTCTTTAAACTGCACACTGTGTTTACTTACTTCTACGTCGAGCTTTTTAATAGGTTGTCCGGGATGGATATTTAAAAGCAATTCGTATCTTTCATTTTGGCGCTGTAATAGTTCTTCATACTTTAGATAAAAAGTAGCCTTGCTTTTTGGTTCGATGTTCACCGACACGGTGAACCTATTTGAATCTCTCGCACTCACTGCAACGTGTGCTGCAGCTTGACCATCGGCAACAGCCTAAAAAAAAATATTACAAGGATAATTAATCAATTACAATTAAAGAAATTATGTAGGGATTCCCGCACAAAGACTAAATAGGAATACGTTATAATTTGGTGACTTGGTGATGATGTTGTTTACAAAAATAACATTGAATATATTCAAACGTGTTTTCTAAAATAGGTAGGTATCTGTCGTTTAAGTTTCATTCCCTGCAGTTGCAATAGCTCAAAATTAACTGTTAGCTAGATTTTACATTTTCTCAGTGTGTTAAAATTTTATCTTTTATAAGTAGCATATAGGTGCCATGAGTGAGAGTTAGGACAGTATTGATATTTTCAATGGTAGAATATAAAACTATATGAATAACTTTTTTGAAGCGTTTACTTTCTGCTATTTTCTATGTTTATATTTTATTACTTATTATTATCATATACTTTTAAATTGCTCGACTTGAATATTTGTATGAAGTTGTTGAGAATGCTTTTATCATTACTGGTTTTTCCGTTTTTTAAGGTTCAAGTATTGTTGAATGGTGTATACTAATAAACAGAGAGCTTGGGACTTGGTCGGATGATCATAGCCGTCGCGTCGGTTTTTTGTACCATATACGAAACCGGTAATAACGGCAGTTATTGGCTTCGTGTATACTTGTTTTAATATCATAATAATGTCAAACGCGCCAAGGGGTGAAAAAAGACCTTTCGCTGATAAATAAGTACGCAAATTTATTTATTTATTGTTTGTTGTTTATACTTATATGTTTATTTATTTGTTTACTACGTACACGCCTATGACTAGGCCCGAACTCTACTAATAAATGAATAAATAAATAAATGACCGTTTTGAGTAATTTTGTTTGTAACTGACAAGTATTATGAAAAATTACATACTATAGTAAAATTAATAGTTTACGATTGCAAACTTAATTTTGAGTACCTTTTTTTTAAACATGATATGTCTCGGAAAATGAATTGATGGTTCAATGTGAAGGAATAAGATCATAAGAATATATCTTCTAAACATCCTAGCTTTCGAAATATAGGCAAAGTCGTTCAGCGGACAAATATTTCGTTGGTCAGCCCAATCAGCTGATTGAGAATATTGGGCAGGCTTTAATACCGTTAATACAAGCCGGTTCAACGAATTGTTTGACTAAAGAAGTTATACCGAACTAGTCGGACCATTCGCTGAACACAATCTGAATTTGCATATATTAACCAGTGGCGGAGATACGGAAAGGCATCGTTACTAAAATTTCAATAATTATAATTATTTTAATACTTTTTCAGTGAAACGAACATATCAGTGTTATTATTTTCGATCTATTCGTACTATGTGGCAAGCGTATTTTAGATTTAAAAAGAATAATATTTCGTAAATAACTTGTTTTACAAAAAATTGTAGAAATATTTTTTCTTTGAAATACAACTACGAAACAAATGAATTTGAGTTTCCAAAATATTCAGAGGCGTCGAAATTCTGGGTAACTTAGGGTGTATTTTGATATCTTCGTTACTGGTTGCTATAATTGTATAGAAACTCGGTAAATTTTTATATTTGTTAAGACGCCAACTCAAATTTTATTAGTTTACGTCAATTATATTTGGAAATATTGATGTTTTTCCAATACTTTTCAAAAACTTAAACATCTATATATCGAAAACTAAGCCGTTTAGAATATGACTTCATCGGATTTGTTATTCATAAAATTCAAAAAGGGTTCCACCAATTCATTTTTTCCAAACTATTACTGGGACACCCATATTTATTATTGTTGCAAGGTTCTAGAGTTTCATCAAGTCAAAAATTTATTCCAAAAGTAAGTCTTTTATCTTTTGCACATACGTAATTCTGCATTTGAAGGCCCCTGATTAAAAATAAATTATTATTAAATATAATAAAGTCCTATACAGCCTTATAGTTTTGTAATAAGTTTTCACTCACCTTTTTGTACGTATTTTCGGCTTCTTTCTTCTCTTGGACATAGGCTTCGTAACTTTTTCCGTCGATTTCCATAGTGAAACCAGAAATGTACGCCTGATCTGGTAACACTACAGAAAATGTGGCTGCCTGAGCAGACTTGTCCAAATTTTTCACTTTACTAGTGATTAAGGTTTTCGCAAAGCGATTCGATACATTTGTATCAACTCTCATTTCGTAAATTTTAGGTAAAATTAGCCCTTGGTCCTAAAAATATATAGGTTACCAATTTCTATTAAAAAAAAAATGTAAAATTTAACACCTTTTGTTCTTCACTAGCTTGTTCTTTTGGAGGTTCGGTTGAAGATACTACCAAACTACTATGTGTATGTGTTGTCAATGAATATGTCGACGATATGAAGACACCTACAAGTGTCCATACTGCCAGCCACCACATTGTAAGTGTATATTTTGTATATTACTTATAATTATCTATATTCTAAAAAAAGAAAAATATATATTAACATAATTATCATTATATTACTTAATAACACATATTATACAAATCTATTAAAATTTGTATTGGAAACATACATTTATTAAAATTTCTATTGATACAAAAAAAAATCAAATGAAAGTTGTGTTATTCAGCAGGAAATAAAGGATACTATAATACATATTTTCTTACAAATCATATCCCTTCAAGGGAGTTTGCGAGGCAACTTTATTTTTTTCAATACATTATCTGTTTTCTCTTATTTCATACACTATTTTGGGCATCTTTTGTATCAAACGTTTTTTTAATATGCAAATGTTGCGTAATTTTAAATAAAACACTATTTTGGAAACTTTCTTCATTTTTATGAGCTGTAACTCTTTTGTCTATTTTTAACACGGAATTTACTTAATTAATGAAGAAGTATCTCATCTTTAGACTTATGTGCTGTGGTTGATTCAAACTCTATGTTAGACTTCGTGAAACTGAAAAATATTTGAAGCTTCAAGAGCACATAGACTAAATACGTCACCATCTATATTATATTACTTTGATTCCTGAATCAAAAGCTGAGAACGATAGAAGACACCGTGTACAGTATTTCCACACTGTCCGTTTGGTAGAGGTGGTTCCATTTCATATTTCATGGCCGATAAGGCTTCCTGACCTTACTCCACTGGACTTCTGTCTCCGTGGATATCTTAAAAATGTGGTGTACCGAAGCTTTCTTACAAGGGAACGAATTAGAAATGTTTGTGTTGACACTCCCCAAGAAACACTTTTCTAATTATCTAATACTGGCTAAAAATGATTTAAACCTGCATTGAAGGCAATGGTGAAACATTTGAACACTTAATGTAATAACATTGCATATTAATGGCAACAACAAAATTAATCGATTTCATATATTTTAAATGTTGACATTTTTATAATATTATATAACTTTACTTTTAAAACGTTCTCTACAAATTGAATTTCTTTGTCTCATAACAAGGGCTGTCACAACTGAGCCGCGGGACATAGGCGTACGCATTACTTATTAAAAAGCGACAAATTAAATTGTCTACAATACACCATAACACAAACGGATAAGAATTAGGAATTAATTACGTAACATCTGCGCGATGACAAAGGCAACAGTATACTAACGTGATGTGAACGTGAAAGGCATTCTGAAGCAGCGGCTCACGTATGTCTCGCTTGGCACGCCATTGAATTGCGGCTGTCTCTCTGACAGTCCTAATCATAACGATTACTTCGTTTCATCCTTTTGACTTGTGAATACAATTCATATGAATTTTTCAGCTTGCACATTGTGATATGGTGCATTGCCAACCACTAATAGCGGCAAATTTACTATAAATTTCATTTGTAACCATTTTTCGTAATTTTGATAGTTCATGTCATCATGATAGTCCCCCGATATAGTTAAAATTAGTTTCATATTTGATATAAAGTCATTTTCCCATCGAGCATGAACTATAACTAACTCCTTTTGTTACAAGTATTCGAAGCCCTTTGTTGCTTTCGTCAGTCATACAAGCATTTTCATTCGAAGATTGATTGTACGTGTCATCCATATAAACAATTGGTCGACTCTCTTCACGGTATTGTTCCATTCTTCTTAAAAAAAATTTAAACTCAGATCTTGGTTATCACGACGGTCCATTAATAGTCGTCGATTGTCTTTGTTTTGCTCCACTGGAATTCTATATTGTGTAAAAGTTCACGCCAACTTTTCCTGCCGCCAGTCTATCCCATATCTTCATGGAACTTTTTATGGATATGGATTTTATGGTGCCGTTTTTTTTAACATACAAACATACCAATTTTGATCGCCCTATCCATTGTCTATACAATGGAAGTCATCCAAATACGCTTTTGGTGAACGATGAGGTTTCTCCATTTGCAATATTGTTTCTTTGCTTCACAACTTATCTGAATTCTTTAAACAATTCTTTTTCAGTCTGTATCGATATTCAGCGTTCAAGGTTCGGGAAGAAAATGTACTCCAGTGCTAGTCTGGTAACGTTGTCATTGAGCGAACAAGATAAAGGTCAACCTGTTTGGATGCATTGCATCTCAAGGACAGCATTTTGAACATTTCTTGTGATGTCGTATAGTGTTTTGAAATCTCTCAAAAATATTAAGCATTGAATTTATTGTTACACATTTAGCAATCAATAGAAAATGGTAAATAGCAAGGTAGGTACTTAAGGATCTTCTTATTTGATTTTCATTTATCTAAAGACCAGTAAATTTTACGAATATTTTACAAGAATAGTTTATTGCCACAAATTGATTGTACATTTTAAAATCATTTAAACGTACGTTTTTTTTTTCAAAAAAGGTCCCTTACTCCCCCAATAACTACGCCACTGGAGTGTATTTTGGAAGTTGTCATCCCTCAAATTTTATCACTAAATATTTTTTGCCAGTGAAGTTACAGGAAAAATCATATAAATATTTGATACTTTTAACACCCTGTATATTCGTAGGGAAGCGTCCTATCAAAAACTTTTATAGGGTAGAAGTTAATTATTTTCATCGGTAGAATACGCTATTAAAGTTTGACAAAACTTATCATTAACGCCCTGTATAAAATAAGCATCGATCTTATATCGCTCTTAATACAAGATCTATGAAAATCCCCATGCAACGGAAGTCGCGATCTGGCCACCACTACCAAGTCGCCTACTGTGCGCCAGCTCTAAAGGTCTAGGTTAATTTCTATACCAATTTGTGTATAGTATAGGTATACTATACAAAAAAGCCTTTAGTTGATAGTATAATCACTACATATTATAAAACAAAGTCCTCCGCCGTGTCTGTCTGTCGGAGGTGTCGGAAAAAAATAAGCCGTCTGGGAGCTTTCAACGAAAACGCTGCCTAAACCCTTTGAGATATAACAAAATAATGTATGTTGGAATTGTGTATCTTATATACGTCTACAGAAAAGTCCGCGATGGCATATGTCTATCTCTTAAGGATAACATACTATATCCATTTTAATACTTTAAAAAATGGGCAATTATAAAGCGGTAATTGGAAAGCTATTTACACAAATACGGTATTAATCCTTATCATTTTAAATACGTTAGTTGGCTTGAGCATTTCATGAAGATTATTTTTTCCCTTTACGCCATGCATATTAAATGAATACCTTAGGAGATATAGCAAAATCAAAATAATGTGCAACGAAATTAATTTCGTGTCGCCGTGATTCGAC